TGCGAAAGTAGGTGGGACAGACGAACAAGCAGATAACTGGAAGTCCAATTCCATCATTAGTATCAGCGGAAAACATTACCCATTAAACATCCAGCTTTTCTTTGTCGCACAATCATCAGGATAAACCATTTTCTGGCGTCTTAAGAACTACGAACATTTGCTTGACCGATAGTCACAGTATTTGACGGAACCCTACAAGATTATGGTGAAATCTACTAACACGGAGGTCCCTGATATAAATACAACCCCGCATTTTGATGGCCCCATTAAAACCTGGGCTTCCTTCACGCTTCCTTCGATTTGCAAGGCAGCCACAGTTGGACAACTCCAGCCCCAAAAGAATTCAACCTAACCAAGTGGTATCGCTCATCCACGTAACCCAAAATCATCACCATGTACACCAAAATTTGTATTGAAAAGTGCCACGTCTGTCACGTAATTTAGTTTCATTGACACAGAACCCTTTAACGTGACCTGCAATTTCAACGACAGTTTTCCAACAACAGTTTCGGATATGCATGTAAATCAGTCCACGGAGGCATCGTGTTGTCTCTGAGTTCTCAACAAAATAGTGATCAAAAGTAGGCCATAGCCAATTGAGGTTATTTTGATTGAAAGAATCAAAAAACGGAAGTGGGCTGCTCTGGAAGCAATCTCACCGAAAAGATTATATCATCATCATCAACGATAGCCATACTACCATTATTTTCACCTCAAACAGAAAAGAGGAGAGTGATCCCTATTGAGCAGGCAGTGACCACCGGTACCTAACCGCTCAGAAAGTGATATTCGGCAACCAAAGTTAGTTACTTTCATGTTCTAGTCAACACTAGTTTTCATTGGCTATACTATGCGTTTAATGTAATTGTATTAGCTCATATAATCGTTTTTCAGGTTAATGGCACTAACCTGGGTCCCCTCCATGAATCACAGCACAGCCTTCCACACAACTAACTTGCTCAATACATTTACTTCGGTTGTAGACAAAATGTAAGACCGCTTATCTTAAGATGTGCAAACTTTAAGCTGCACCTAATCCTAGTCCACGAATACTTGGGCAGGTGTTTCTTCCTTTCTTTGGATCTTTAGTACTGGGAATTTAAACCTGAAACAGCGAGCTATCAGTGATATAATGCATTTTACCACTACGTCAACGAAGCACGTCCGAAGATATTCACTTTTGCCAAACGTTCGGCCTCTGTCGTCTTCTGAATCAAACAGGTGAACAAACGCAAATTACCCAGAATGTCCAATTTTAAGGACAGTTAATACCACGAAGCCACATGAAATGGTCGGCGTGCTGGTTCCCATAGTTTAGCACTAACGTATAAAACGTAATCCTGGCCCTCGTCTAGAGGACACGGAAAACATTTGCCCATGCTACGCCGGATAGGGAACTAAATAGTCTGAAAGTAACGGAAAAAACGGATGTCCCTCACAGCTCATCGAAGGATGTCTATTTAATATACACTGAATCAGCCACCAATATCGATGATAAAATGTTAATTACCAAAAAAACCACCAAGCGGTGATCAATCACCTGGAACCTTAATAAACTGATTAGCTGGATGAATGATACAGACCTACAAATCAGCTGACCCATATCGGTCTTCACCTTCAGATATTTAAAAATAAACTGCTCATGGAGATCAAACCAACAGTTCTACGCATTTTCACCTGCTCCTATGGACGGACACATCTCGGTCGAACATTGAGGCAACTGTCAGAAGGAATCCTCAAGCACTGTCCAGAAAGCAATGGGATCTAAAACCCAAAGCATCGTACCTGGTTTCATCTTTTTGCGCCATGTAGACATCGGCCACCAGGTTGATACTAAAACAGCACTTGCAATCATAAGCCACAACCTCCACATACGAGATAAATGAGTACAGACACATGTTAGCCATTGCACAAATCACAATCACAGGTTTGTTCAACCTAGCACTGTATCCAGAAGATGTACAGGTGTTACAGTTGTCATGGCCGCATTCCATAAAAACTGACACTAATACCGACAATGGCAGGGCTCGTGCATTAAGGACAAACATAGCTAGTTATACGGTAGACCTAGCAGAACTAGGCTCATGAAGAAGATAGTCCTTGTAATGCACTACTCAAAAGATTGCTGAAAACTCCTCGACCGCCCACGACCGGTTTCGCCCTTCTTGGGGCTCATCAGCTAGGCGCAGTCCCCGAGTTTCCGTCAACCTTATGTTCTACTTGAAACCAAGAAGGCCGAAACCGGTCGTGGGATGTCGAGGGGTTTTCAGCAACCTTATGAGTAGTGCACTACAAAATATATATGTATCGCGATATCTCGAATATCGTAGCGACTGAAACATGAGGCGGCCTGGTGCAGCACATTCAATTGCCCGGAAAGATCAAAACCGAGAGATTCATAGTAGAGAACATAACACCCGGAAAGATCAAAACCGAGAAATTCAGCTGGGATCCAAGTGAGTCTCTCGAAAAAACAAATTAACTTGCAAAGGAGTGTATATTCGCTACGATAGTCCTTGATTACAGCTTCTTGGAAGCAGTAACTGGACCTTCAATGGACATGCGCAATGTGATTCGGCTGGATTACTTAAGCGGTCGTTCAAACCACAAAATACCAAAGGAAAACGCGTTCCAAGTATTCACTGCCTATAGCGGTGGCTTTGTATTTGGTTCATGGGCGAAATGCAAACCGCAGCGCAATACCGAGTGTACAGAAGTTGCAAGCATCACGCGCAACAACACGCTAGGTAACCTAAGACTGCCAGCAGAGGGCGATTATGGAAATAATGGAAGACTGTTCCGTGAGGACTTACCGCCTTACTCTGCTCGGAGCCACTGAGAAGCACAACACTTGAAATGCAGTCCAACATCATGTGGCTGTCCTCGTCCGAGACAGCAGGATGTCTGGCAACCAAGGAGCGCCTACCGAGACGGTCGCGACCGAAGTAGATTAGATTAGTCGGGAACTGGAAAAGCGGAAGTGCAAGGAATTCTAAGAAAAGTCGTACTAACAGGTCACCCTCATCACAAAAGATATCAACATGAAAGATCAAACAACGGCGGCCCCCGTCTGCGAAAGCGACTTTATTAGAGTTAATGAACTGCATCTACTTAGTACGTAAAATAGCAACACAAGAAATTTATTAATCTCTATACATCTTCAGGTGATAACCTATGAAAAGAGGGCGCTCAACGACACTTCGTGCACTACAAAGACGATCTGAGAGATTTGAGCGCGTATCCTTCTGGAAAGGCGGTTAAACTCTGTGACCTGTAAGAAGGTGATCAATCAGCCATATGATCAAACTGCACTTATGTAGGACTCCCAGTGATTTGTTTATGAACCCTATAATCAACTGCTTAAAAAACAGCAGTTGAACTGCTGTACAGGCGGACACCACAACGATTGCTTGGAGCGATCACAAACTATCCGACGTACCACAGTACACTCTTATTTGGCGACGTACGACCGCCGAAATGATAGAATAGAGTGGATCGCCAAACGATGGCATCAGAAGAGTGTCACGTTTCCGGTTACTGAGTTGGTAGAAATTCCGGAAGTTTACAAAAAACAAGTAATTTTTCTGAGACGTAATTCTCCAGCGCTCATTCTTCCCCCGGCGCCAACAGGTGCAATTTATAAATGAAAAAAATTCAGCGCCAACAATAAGAGCAAAGTGAGCGACTGGTCACAACTCACTTCAATCAAAATAAAGGCGAACGGTCCCTGGACTGACGAAAGCAAGCAAAGAAGTTCCTCCAGAGTATCAGTATCTTTTATCAGAGACAGAAGAATGTCGGCATCATTTACGAGTGGATCTTGAAAACGTTGGTCTATCAGGTTATCAGCAAAGTGAAACACTTCTCCATTCCATAGCAAGTAGTACGTCTTGTTAGTGAGCGAAGAAACTGTCCAAAGAGGTTGCGTTGTCACACTACTGCCGCGTTGAGACAAGATGCATCCAACGGCCAGCAATCCGGAACTGTGTACAGAAGGGCCAGACGGCATAAGTGCCTTGCATGAGCAAAAGTCCGGTCCACGATGCAAAAACGTGGAGAAGTCATAATGAACAATCGATTGGAGCTGTGATGTACAATCTCCATCAAGCTGGCAAAAAGAAACAATGTGTATTTAGAAGTTTGCCGCTTGGAAGAATGGGGACATCAGTGCGTTTTTCAATAGAGCTCGTTGCTAAATCCATAATACCGGAGTCTTACCAGATTAAAACGCAATTTTAGACAAGTCCTCTGCATCCCAAAAGCAAGTAAAGGTTGGGCATTACTGCATGCACCATAGAGCAAGTAGTATGTCAGTTATAAGACTAATGTTTAGCATTCAAAGTAAGATATGTTAGCAACTTACCGCAGTTGACACGTCAGACGCAGATAATAAAGCAATACCACACATAGGTATGAAAGACTTTCATCAAGAGGTACTGGACTAACGGACGGAATGATGTCGCTGCACCACCGACATCCTGAAACGGGGAAGAACGATGTAACTTAAAACATCGGTTGCACTTTCTAATCATCACATTCAAAATACGGTTGAAGCAACGAAAAAGTACCTTCAGTGAAAGACAAAATAAATGGCTGTCCACCATGACCCCGAACGATTAATGAAACACGTTCACGAGCTCGGCATGACAAGCGGGGAGGTTTCACTAGAATGGTACAATTTTGAGCATTATTATTAGTACTTTTATACTTGGGTGCTGGTGTAAATCTTCTCCCAATCTAAAGTTGTTACCTTGCTGTAGTGGTCAGACGCCACTGACTGGAACTCAGTTCCACAAGGTTCAACCATACCAAGGATAACCGTGTGCAGCCGGATGAAGAACAGCGAGTCCTCGTACTACGAGGCAAAGTCGTACTATTTTCTGCGATAGCCAGTAAGCGATAAGACCACTATATCCAGACGAACAAATCCATTTTGCTAACATCTTATTTTGTCGACTGAAACCTCGTTTTCTCTATCGCAACCTATCACTGATGCCCTATTGGACTATTTGCTCATTTACATTCTGGTTCATTTGAGTTCATATCACGGAACGGTTCAGTTGTTTCCAGTACAGCTTCTTCAAGGTCGTTTGTCCTCTTGATCCCAGTGCAACTGACAAGTTGGACTGATACATTATTTGAGACAATAACAACTAGCTACGGGAACCCAATGCGAACTCAAACATGTCAATTTCAGCTAAGAATAGGAAATCCACCCCTCAACAGCAACCCTCGAGCACGACCAGTCCGCGAACTTTATTCTTCACAAACATTCAGAGGGTTCAAAGTTTGCACAAACGTTGGAGCAACCCCGTGAGAGTTTCGGTCAGCGTTTACTTCTTAAAGCTTGATACAAATGTCTCGAAATAGCCAAGTGCGATGCCGACAATTACCTCACTTTGCCGGTGTCGTCAACCATGTGCGGAAAATTCCAATTGCGTAAGGATAATAAGGAGTGACTGCTTTAGTTATATGCTTCCCAATTCATGGATGGGGATCCCGAGACGGGACAAGATATTGCTAGACGTGGCCTGATCGTGCCCACAGTGGTGTTCGTCTATCCAAGCTATTACCTTCAATGCATATCTCCCCTCCCGATCTCCTCCATTAAAAGCCCGCTGACACCCATGTATTTACGCATCAGTTATATCCGCTACCTCCTCCAACGCTCACATCGAATTAGTTGGAGGTCACCAACCACAAGACAGTCATGGACTCCATTGGACCATGTAGCCATCAGTTACCCATGGAGGGCCTCAATTAAAGATTGCCGTCCCATCTGTGGTACGCAACTTGACTCTGATCATACCATTGTGCGGCCCCGGTTATCGCTTCGTTTTCTGACGGCTAAAGCAGGGTAACTCCACCCACCAACTTCTTTAAGTTTCGGTGTCGAGCTGGTCTGGTTAGCTACTGGAAACACATAGCCAGGCAGTGAAGCACTACGTGACGCGTTTATTTGTTGTCTTTACGCGTATATCACTTGTCAGAGGCTGTCGGAACATAAGTCACTAGATTTTAAACCACCTACGATCATTCAGAAACCCTTGAGCTAGCGGAGAAACAGGCGTAGTCCTTTTTGCCGAATAATCAACTCCCCTGTGCTACCGTATCGAATCATCCACCAAGGTCTTCACGTTCTCAAGCATCATCGCATGAGCAAATGACTGTTGCTAGTATGGGACCTTCATGGCTATGCTCGTCACCCGCGTTACAAATGTTCCGCTGAGGACACGGCTTAGTGGTTAGAGTGCAAATTCACTGACCGGGAGGTCCGTGGTTCGAACCCTATCCATGCCTCTCGACTTTCCCTGTCTAGGCCTGGGCAACCCGGCAGTACCTCAACCCTCGTGCTTCCTTTGGGTGGCACGGCAGCTAGGCACCGAAAGAGTGGTACAGCTGAACGATTACCTATTATATTGCGGCCTCGGAGGTTTATGACTGCATACGTGCCACCGAGCTTCTGGTCCGGATGACCTCCCACCCTCAAAGATTGGGGTGAAATCCTCAGTCACCGCTTGTCTGATCTGTTTGCTTGCATTTGTGAAAAGGAGTCTGTCCCAGACAACTGAGAGGAGAGTGATAGTGTCTATTTTCAAAAAGGAGCTCGTAGTGTGTGGCGATCACAGGGGGATCAGCTTGACCCCGATCGTAATGAAACTGTCGGCGTCACTGGTGCTTCGTCGCCTTACGGTGAAACACTAACTCGAGAGCAGCAAGCGGGATTCTGGCCTGGTAGGGGTTTCTTTGACTAAATCTTCACACTTCTTCAGGTGCTAGGACAACGCTATACATATAATCGATCTATAATCCTAGTACTCCTGGATTTCCAAGGCGCATTTGACTCGGTCTGTTTACCTTGACACGCTTTCCTACCAAGGAATGTCCCGGAAGTTCGTGAACATAATAAGCACTTTATATTCCGACTTCCGGATGTGTGAGACTATATGGCGAGCTCTCCAAAGCTTCCGTAGACAAAGTGGCGTCAGTCACGGATGCCTACTCTCTCCAATCTTGTTTAACTTCGTGATCGATGAAGTCAGGAGAACAAGGGAAGGTCTCCGAAACTCCGGTGTTCAAATAGCCTGTAACGAAAACCTTGTCGATCTGAAATATTCACACGACACCGTCCTCATCATCGAAGAGGAGAAGGCGCAGGTGTTAGTGGATGAACTGACCAAAGTCATCACGTCCTTTGGTATGCATTTTGTATCCACAAAGTGTGAGGTCATGCTCCTGGACATGCACTCACTGAACATGCCACTTGCAACCCAGAGACACTAAAAGTTTTGAAGCGTTTAAAGTGTTTTGGAAGTTCCGATTGTGCATGAATCTGCAAGGCACCGGTCACATTTGCTAATTTGAGAGACCTATGGCATCAAAGTGGTGTATCCTGAATCTCAGGGGACGTGTGAATCAAGCTACAGTGCGGGCTCGTTTGTTGTATGGCTGTAGGATTTGGCCTATTCGAGCAGCGGATCTCCGGGTGTTCGACAATCGTTGTCTCATGACCATTGCTCGTGTGGTTTCGTGCCAACGTATCCGTAATGAGGCAACTGAAAAGCGAATCTTCGGTTGTGCAACGGGAACTTCCATTGATGAAAGTGTCCAGCACCAGAAGCTGCGTTGGTTGAGACATGCATTGCGTATGCCAAACCATCGTTTGCCGAAGAGAGTGCTACTTTACGTGCCTTACTCATAGTGGCGGACGTAGAGAGGTGGCCGTCTCTTGATCTGACAGAGGGATAGGAAAGAGATTACGAAAAGTCTGGGTGCTGTGGATCCAACTCGCATTCTAGCCTGAGGATCGCGTCACTTCCAGTGTCTGGTTGGAGCCGCTGCAAGATATGGCTGCCAATCTTCGTCAGTGACATTATTATTGTCAGTTTCTAACCAGCTTGCCTGAATGAGTGCCTGTTTGTGTAGGCACCTTGGAATGATTGTGGTAGTAGTAGAATCAACTTGGTTGGATTAACCTGCGACGCAATTGTGGATGGAAAACAATGTAATTGTGAGCCGAACAGACACAAAACATCAGCGAACATGTGCGGCGACTTGAGGAGTATTGAGGGCTGTTGGTAGTCGATTAAGTGGCTGTTTACCTGCTCCCCAACTTGGAAAATGACTCGCCGTTCTGCACGTCCACGGAACTTCCGTCTGTCTAAGCGCTGTAGAACGACAGAACGAATAAGCCGAACAGCCACTACATTTTGCTTCCTGTGAACAAGGCTTAGTATTGTGACCTGTCTTTGTGTGATCAATACTGAACATCTGCATGCACCTTATGAGTGCTCGGGTCGCTTTCTGAGTAGGTCTGACTTGTCAACCAAAGGCCCAAGCTGGGATCCATCAACCAGTTTCTTCTTATGTTAAATCCAAAGAATTTGTCGTCATCCCACTCCACAGTTCAGTTACCGACCCAAAATGCTCAAAATCCGATTCACTCACAAGATAAAGCCAAGAAACTACTTAGCTCAAAGCCTATTGCGGGACAAGGATAGACGGACGGTGTCTCGTGACCCGCTTTCTATCTTCTCCCCCAATGAATAAATGGATAAGTTCATGTCATCTATTTAGTATTTTCAGCTTTGTGAACTTGTACTCTGTCACTGGAAATACAGTCATGAACGACTCTAACACACCCTAGTAAATAAATAGTGGTGCATCCAATGGCGCGTAATGGGAGATAGCAACGAGTATGCTTCAGTACAAGACACTGCCAGCTGCGATGGTTGTCATGCACATCACAAAAATAGAATCACATAAAAGAGTGAATTGAAACTCCCAATTTCAACCAATCTGTTGGTGACGAAGTGGGGCGAGATGGCTCAAGTGGTTAGAGCGCGAATTTACTGACCGGAAGGTCCGTGGTTCGAACCCGACCTGCGCCTCTCGACTTCCCCTGTCTAGGCTTGGGCAACCTGACAGTATCCCAGCCCTCGTGCTTCCTTCGGGTGGCATGGCAGCTAGGCACCGAAAGGGCGCTACAGCTGAACGATTATTATTATTATAAACTTCTCGGATGCGTGCATGGGCTTGACCTCAGATATCTGAAAACAAAAATATCCACTTCCTACAGCCCCCGTATTAGAAGAAACGGGCTGATGCTATTTCCACCAACTCAGATTGGTGGAGAAAAAGAAATAGCAATATTTATATACTACTTGTGGAAATAGTGATAAGCGAAGAAACGTAGATAAACCAAGAGCTTGGGCGAAGTGGATGAGACCGGCGTACATTATAAGCGGTGTTTTCTGTAGCGTACTCTGTAAATCCTGGTGCACTATTTCTTGCATGCTATTACTAATTTCATTCATTTTATACGCTTATTTCATTAGCCAATCGGAATCCCAACTTGAGTGTGAGGAGCAAGCCGCAGCACGCGGTAGTCAATTAATGCACACGCCAAAACAAGCAAATGATTGGCTGGTACGAGTCACGTGATCCATGGTCGGACATACTGCTCCGTAAGAGGCCTAGCGGCCCAGGGCATGAGATTCATGCACAAGCTAGCATTCTGATTGGTTAGTTGTGCACAAGCCAGGAAGCGCGCGCTTTCAAATTGCATTTGTGCACAAGCCAAGAAAAAAGCGAAAGCGAGTTAAATGGTTGAAGCGCATAAACCAAGGAAAGATGGACTGTTACTGCAAGCTAGAAGGAACAATTTTAATAATTTATTGCAGGATAACTCTGCTTCTTCGCGCGAAATATGTGCAACAGGACGCTGAGAAAATAAAAAATCCTAAAGTCACAGAACGTGTCCACGTACCTTAACGTATCCAGCGAACAACCTTTATTCACACAACCTTCTTCTGCCTACCCACATGATTTCCTTCATTTAAAGCTTAGGAGGAACTCGACGTTTGTGTTTCGGAAATCTCAAGTCAAACTTTGACTATAGTCATGGATATGTATACATAATTAAGACTTCGCACTCGGAACATTAAATTGCTTTTATCTTAGTGAATCGTATTTTTATGCTATATATGACTCAGTAAAAGCGGTAGAATTCCGTGAAGTAACACGTTAACCAAGAAAGTCGAAAAGGAGTCCGGCGCCGACGCCCGAACTTGAACCGTGGACCACCAGGGTCTGCACCCAAGCTTATCCTGCTCGGCCACCGAGCCACGAATGGCTACTGGTGCAAACCTCTGCTACGCAACTGGGCCTCGTATGCAGTGGTAGTATGTTTCGGTAAGGATCACGTGACTAGGACCAGCCAATCATTTGCTTTAGTTTGGCCTGTGCCTGAATCGACTTCCGCGGTCTAGCAGAGGTTTGCGCCGACAGTTACCCATAGCTTCGTGCACCAGTGAGATAAGCTTTGGTGTTGCGGATGGCGTGTTGAAGGTTCGTATCCAGGGGCCGTCGTCCGGTTTATTTCGACTTTTCCCTCTTACCCCTTCATACACAGAACACTACCACTTTTGCTGACAGTCATATACAGCATAAATATATGACTGACTAAGACGAAAGCAACTTTAAGTTCCGAGTGCGGGAAGTCTTGAATATGTAGTTAATTTTGAAGGGAGATAACCTAGAACACAAACGTCAACTGCCCACCAAACTTTTATTGCGAGAAGTCGTGTGGCTGGTCACGAAAAGGTTATGTGAAGAAAAGAAGGTCGGGCTTTTCAAGGCCGTTGTGTACGTCTTATGATGTTAAGTTTACGTTTTCATCTTATAAGCATCAAGTTGTACATACCTCATGCAGAGAAACGCGGATCGCCGGGAATAAATTCTCCAAACCGTTTAAGATTATTTTACTGCTTACTTTGAAAATTCGTCTTTCCTCAATCTGCGCGCTTTAAGAATTCAATCCGTTTATTCTCCCAGAACCGGCGCCATGCGGCCTGAACCGGGATACTAGTTTCTCGAGGCCATAGGGGCCCTATGGTGGGACGGTATATAAGCCAGTGTGGAGCTACAAGTGGCCATTCTTGCTTGTTCCGCCCGTAGTCCGGATGCCAATGACAGGCCGAACGCGACCAGTGCATTATCAGTGACGTTACGGCCGGTGTCTATCATGCCGAAGCC